TCACCTATGGATTTTAGGGTTTGCGAAGATGGGTCACGAATACCATGGGAAGGCTAGGGGGTGCCCAGGATGGTGACCATGTTACTAGAATGGTCGAGCGTGTAATGAATGGTTTCGAGGACGAAATCTAATTTAAGTGGGGGGGGGAGTTGTAACTCCCCATTTATTTAATAAATAAATAAATAAATAAATTTATGGTAGCCCTAAAATCAATAATTATATAGCGAGGTGTTGGATTCGAAGAGTTAATTGGCACAATTCAGAAGTTGGGGGTTAAAAATGTAAGTTCCAGATTGGTTTTGTAAATAATTATAAAGGTAGGGACTACTTGGTAAATTATTGGGACTTAACTTGAAAGGATTTTGAAGACTAAGGACTATTTGGGTAATTTTGGAGTTAATTTGAAAGGAAAAGAGGTGGAAGGGCTGAATATGTCATAATTGAGATATTGGGGGTTCAAAGGGTAACTTTTGGACCGGGTTTGCAAAGAAATTCAAAAACGGAGGGCTGTTTGGTAAGTATTGTACTTGATTTGTAATGACTTTTAATGCTGAGGGTTTAAGCGGTAAGTTATGGATTCATTTTGAAAGAAAAGGGGGAAGGAGGGGCTAATTCTGTCGTTATGGAAATAATGCTTATGGGGCTCGGGAGTATATAATCGTTGTCTAACCCTAACCCTAGAGAACTATGCCAGCCGCCAACTTCACCACCTTACATCCCCTTCACCGATCGCCACCTTCCCTTCTTGACTTCCGGCGCCGCACCATCATCACCATGGAGATCGGAAACCACCGAACGACCATCCCATCCGCCAGCGAGGGTGGTTACTGCTACTGTTTCATTGCCATCCTCTCCAGCCGGTCGCCGGTCGCCGCCGCCGCTTTCTTGCCGGTATCGAGGTCGCAAGCCACCCTTTTGCCTCCGCCGCTGGCGTCGTCCTGCTGCTGCTGAAGATGTGAGCCGACGCCATGCCATTTCCGATCAGCAAAGACGACAAAGACCACCGCCTCACTGTTTCTTTGCTGTCGGTAGTCACGGTTGTGGCTGCCGTTCGCTGTCGCCGTTCTTTCTCCTCTTCCTTTTCGTTCTGCCGTTGATGGTCACCGCTATTACCGCCTCCTACCATCGCCGCACACCTCGGGTGGGTGATTGGGTTCGCTTTGCGAGCATGGGGTGTGTGGGTGTGTGTTTCTACTGCTTTGCATACCGTGTGTGTATGTGCTCGTGGCCAGAAAGCTTGGAAAACCACAATGACGGGGTTGTATGGATGGAATTCGTGAGAAAAGCCACCGTCACCACCGTGAGGTGGTGGCTGCCACCATGTGCCGCCATGTGTGTGTTTATGTTAGTGAGTGGGTGTGTGTTTACTTGAGATTTAGCCTTGTAAAATGTATTTGGAAATGGATTAATGAGAAAGAAACCTTAACCACCACCGTAGGGTGGTGGCTGCCGCCTCCTGCCGCCACCGGCCGCCGTGTCGGGTGGCGGTGTGCCTTGTTTGGATTGTGAATCGTTTGGAATGTTTGGAAAAAGGGACTAAAGCCCTAATGGGCCTAGGAAACCCTAATGGGCTTAAGGACTTGGTTTTGGGCCTATTGGGCTATAAATGGGTTGGAAACCCTAATTAGGGTTTAGAAAACCCTAATTTTGGATATATGGGCTTTGGATCAATCGGGACCCGCACTAGAATCGTTTATTAAATTAAAATATTAATTAATAACCATTTGCAATTAACCCAAGGCCATGTGGGACTTAATGGATTAAGTCCTCAATGAGTCAATGGGTTAAGTGAGGAAAACTTAACCCTAATCATCATTTTATGTGAAACCCTAATTTCACTTGGGCCTTGAGTTGGGCCTTTTCATTGGGCTTTGGTGATGGGATTATTAAAGGGCCATCCAAGAATAATCATATGGACTAGAATATGTTGTTGGGCTTTAGGGTAAGGCGCATATGATGAGTTGGGCCCAATTTGGAAAATTGGGCCATAGATGGGCCATAGTTTGGTCCTTAATGATTATATGATATTGGGCCATTAGAATGTAAAATGTTGGTCTGGAATAAATGGTTGGGCCTTAGAGTATGACCCTGTAAAGGTTTCGGCCCAATTTGGAAAATTGGGCCATATGTTGGGCTTTGATACATAGTTTGTCTTTGTGATAATTATCTGGTATGCCATTATTAGTTATGTTTGTGTGCTAGGATGCTTTGAGATACATGTTAGTAGTAGTAGGGGTGAAATAGTCCCCGGATAACGGTTGAAATATACCGAAGGGGTCGTCAGAACCCATGCATGCCTAGCAATATGTTTATAATATGTTATATGTGATAGTGGAAGTAGGAGGGGACTGGTCCCCAAGTTCGGTTGTTAGGACCGAAAGGTAGGTCGGGCACCCCAGATATGCCTGACGGTATGTTTATGTTATGATATATGTGGTAGTAGTAGTAGGGGTGAAATAGTCCCCGGAGTTCGGTTGTTAGGACCGAAGGGTAGTTCAGCACCCCAGAATGGCTTGACACGGGTAGGTCAGCACCCCAGAATGGCTTGACACGGGTAGGTCGGCACCCTAGAATGGCCGGACCAGGTAGGTCGGGCACCCCAGAATTGTCCGGCAGTATGTATGTTATGTGATTGTATGGTGTGTGGTATGATGGCGGAACTCACTAAACTTCGTGCTTACGGTTTTCAGTTTTGGATTCAGGTACTTCGTTTCAAAGGAAAGGAGCCGGCTCGATCGCAACGCATCACACTATGGTTTTTCCGCACATGAGATCTTTGGGATTACACTCTGATATTGTTTATGATAACATGTCTTGATTATTTCTACTTTGGTTTTGACATGACATGATATTATGGATGTTTTCTTGTACTGTTGGTTTTATAATAACTTATTAAAAAATAAAAAATTTGGCCTTGAATTTTGGGATGTTACAGTATATGTATATATGCAAGTTTATTATCATATGCATTTCCTAGAAATTTGTGACCAATAATGTATTTCCTAGGAAGTCCATCGGAAGTTCCCAAAATTTTCCTAGAGATTTCCTAGGAACGCAATCCATTTTCTAATATTAAAAGTTGAAACATCTATTTTTTCGTTCAATATTTTGCACAACTTCATTATACTTGAAATTCTTTTAGTTTACCAAGTTATGCATGATATATACATACGTAAATATACACACCACCATAACACCTTACTCGAATCATTTGTTTATCATTATATATTCTATATAGTGTATGTGTACATATGTATGTGCATAATTCATATTTTGGTTAGGTAAAAGTATTTCATGTATATAACAAATTTGCACAAAATATGGAACGAATAAAAAATAATAAGAACAAAAAAATGAGATTAATTCCTAGTAAATCCCTTGGAACTTCCTATGCATTTCCCATAAATTTGTGACGACTGATGTATTTCCTCGGAAATCCATCAGAAGTTCCCTTATATTTCCTAGGGATTTCCTAGGAACAGAATCCATTTTCTAATTTTAAAATATGAAACATTTATTTTTTTCGTTCAATATTTTGTACAACTTCATTATACATGAATTGTTTTTAGTTTACCAAGTTATGCATGATATGTACATACGTAAGTGTGCACACCACAATAACATATTACTCAAAACATTTGTTTGTCATTATACATTCTATATAGTGTATGTGTATATATGTATGTTTACGTATGTTCATAATACATATTTTTGTAAGATAAAAGTATTTTATGTATAACGAAGTTGCACAAAGTATGGAGCGAATAAAAAATAAAATGAATGGAAAAATGAGTTTGATTCCTAGGAAATCCCTTGGAACTTCCTATGCATTTCCTACAAATTTGTGACGACTACTGTATTTCCTAGGAAATCCATCGGAAGTTCACACATATATATTTCCTAGGGATTTGCTAGGAACATAATCCATTTTCAAATATTAAAATATGAAACATTTTTTTTTGGTTCAATATTTTGTACAACTTCATTATACATGAATTGTTTTTAGTTTACCAAGTTATGCATGATATGTACATACGTAAGTGTGCACACCACAATAACATATTACTTAATACATTTGTTTGTCATTATACATTCTATATAGTGTATGTGTATATATGTATGTTTATGTATGTGCATAATACATATTTTGGTAAGATAAAAATATTTTATGTATAACGAAGTCGCATAAAGTATGGAACGAATAAAAAATAATATGAACGGAAAAATGAGTTTGATTCCTAGGAAATCGCTTGGAACTTCCAATGCATTTCCTACAAATATGTGATGACTAGTGTTTGGAAGGAGTGTGTATGTTTATGTATGTGCATAATATGTTTGTAAGAAAAAGTATTTCATGTATAACAAAGTTGCATAAGGTGTGGAATGAATAAAAAATAAGGTTTGAATCTGTAAGAATGAAAAAAATTAGTTTGATTCCTAGGAAATCTCTTGGAACTTCCTATGCATTTCCCATAAATTTGTGACGATTATGTATTTCCTCGGAAACTCATTGGAAGTTCCCACATATTTCCTAGGAACTAAATATATATTTGTTTTATATTTTGAGGTCAAAACGTCATCTTTTTTTTAAAAAAAAAATTATATATTTTGTGTAGTAAATTTACGATTTGACTCCTAGGTCAAATGCTTTTTTTTTGTTTCCTAGTTAATGCATGTATATTCCTATAATTTAGTAATTGGTTTTACTTAATCACAGATTATACTAATTACACTATGTGTTTTATGTAGCAAAAGGAATTGAAGCGTGTCCCTACATTTCTGGAACTTTTTCTTATTACCCACCTTACCACAGAGGCTAAGAAAAAATTCAAGGCTAATGATTATGATACAATTCAAGAGTTGGAGTTTTGTACACCTACTGCTAGAGCAATATGTGTAATATATCTTTTCCTTTTTAGATAATTAGTGTCTCACTTCAAATAGTACAATAATAACAGTCGTTTTGTTTTGATAAATTGTAGGAGACATACACTAGTGCCATGGTTGAAAAGTACGGGGAGGACCTAACTCAACATCCAGAGGGTGAAGTTGACTTGTGGGTGCAAGCACAAGAAGGGAGACGCAAATGCAGACGTATTTACGGGGTAGGAGGTTCAGATCTACATTTCGTTGTCACGGGGACATCATCCAACGGGAACAAACCGACCTCTTCTAACTCCCTGCAGTCACAACAACGGGTAGTTTTCTTTGACATATAAATAAAAAAGTTGTTGCTATTATTTAAAAAACATAAAAGTATATGGTCTTTGATAATAAATAACAATTAAAGTATGTTGGTATTATGAAAAAAAAGGTAAAATGCTATAATGGATAGAAAATAAAAGTATGTTGCGATTATATATAAAAAATGAAAGTATGTTGCTATTGTGAATAAGAAAATTTAAGTTCATTCCATTTATTAGTGAAAATGTATGTTGCTATAATAGATAAAAATGTTAATATATACTTTGTTTTTACTTTTTTTTATGTTACTAATGTATGTATGTTTCTTTTAACATTTTTTTTAGGTCAGGGAATTGGAACAAGCTCATGCCGAATTCGCCCGACAAAATGGTGAAATGGCCGAAAGACAAGCACAAATGGAAAAACAAATGACGGAAATGGTCGAGTTCATGAGACGATATGACACTAATAACCGTCCCGACAATCCATCCAATCTATCGAATGCTCCTTAGGTTATTTGTTGTAAACGTTTGTACGTTTTTATGACTTCTATATTATGTTTTTTGGTTTACACGATTGTTGAAACTTATGTTCTAAAGTGTAAACATTTGTATGACTTCTAGATATATGGAATGAACTTAGTTTTTTTGTATTAGTTTTTTTTTTCTGGATTTTAGGCTAAATTTTTTTGTTTTTTTTTTGTGTTGTTTTTAATATTTTTTTATAGCTGCACTGTTTCTCGGAAATTCCTAGGAACTTCTGTCACGTAAAAGTGTCACAAAAAGCTGTCAAGAAAGTTTTCTAGGAGTTCCCGAAAATAAGTTTCCTCGGAGATTCCTCAGAAATAATCCTTGGAACTTCGTCGGAAATAAACTTCCTCGGAAATTTGTCGAAAATTATTTCCTCGGAAATTTTCTCGGAAATTCATCGGAATTAAACTTCCTCGGAAGCATTCTTCCTCGGAAATTCCTCGGAATTAAACTTCCTAGGAGTTTCCTCGGAAATAAAATTCCAAGGAAAACCCTCGGTACTTCAGAAAAAACGATTTCCTAGGTAATGCGTTGGAAAGTTCCTCGGAAATCCCTTACAAAACATTTCCTAGGAGGGTTTTACCTACGCACATGATTTTCTCGGTATTTCCTCGGAAACGCCGTTTTCCTAGGAATTTCCGAGGAAAGTGTCCCTCGGAAATAGTGCTTTTTTTAGTAGTGATTAGTGACGAAAACGAAATGGTCACTAACAATTGAAGGCGTCGTCACTACATCATTTAGTGACCAAACTTTTGGTCGTCCCTTGTGGTCACTATAGGTCCGTCACAAAAACCGATTAGTGACCAAAATATAAAAGCGGTCACTAAATAGTGACCAAAATATAATGGTCACTAAATCTGTGACGATGGGTTTCGTCACTAAATGTTGTCACTAATAAATGAAAGTCGTCACTGTTTTATCTAATTAGTGACCATAAAAAGTCGTCACTCTCTTATGCGATTAGTGACCATAAAAAGTCGTCACTCTCTTATGCGATTAGTGACCATAGAACGTCGTCACTGGTTTATCTAATTAGCAACCATAAAAAGTTGTCACTCTCATCCGATTTGTGACCATAGAAAATCATCACTAGCTTATCCAACTAGTGGCCATAAAAAGTCGTCACTAATTTATCCAGTTCGGTACAAAAAAAAAGTCACTGATTTTTGTTGCAATTTCGTTTATTTAAACAATTTAAGTAACTTTAAGCGAACCTACAATATACAATACTGAAATGGCTAGAACATCATATGAATCTTAGAACATAGTTAAGAACAGCAACCATCAAAACAGATTTCAAAAAACAGTAAGTATTCCAATTCTAACCGGCTTACTCATTTTATAAACTGTACACAAATAATAGTTACAAAAGAATGTGATATAGATTGTGGGGAAGCCTTGTGACTAGCTTCCTCTAAGGCTATTTTAATTGACTTTTGCATCTCTAACTGCCTACTTGTCTACAAAATGACATCATTTAGGTTTTTTGTTTAATGAGAAAGACATTCTTGTCTTTTGCACATGAAATGGTGGTTATGCAGCTTTTTCTAGCAGCAGTGAAATCTTTTCTCCTTCATCACTAGTATTTTGGTCAACATCAATTTGAAAACTTTTAACCCTTCTTTGAAACTCAGGCATGACACCCTCCATAATGCTTGAACATCTTTATTTAACAAAAAACCAACCTGTAGGAAAAGAACTATTTTTTGTGAGGCTCTTTTTTTCATGGGATTCCAAGGCTATGAATCCAAATCCATCCCTCCACGTGTCAAACAAACAGGGATCGCAGATACCACCAGCTTCTCAACCTTGAATGACTCGAGCATCTGAAAATCATAATTTTCGTTTTACAAGAGTTTATGTAAAACGAATTACAAATTTGGTCCCTGTGAGTGTGGTTAGTCCAAGTTACTAATTTTCTCCCTGTGGTTGATTGCTAAATCGAACTATTTGGCCTTCGGTTTTATTAAAGTGATTATTTTGCAATAGACCAGATTTGTAATCCAATTGTAATTTTATGATTAAATTATTTTCTAAATTATAACGTATCTCTTTTCCTAAATTATAACGTGTTTTATGCTAATGTGTAAATATTTATTTAGTCAATACAAAATAAAACATGTGTTATTTTCTAAATTATAACGTACTGTATTTTATTCTGAAGTATATATGTTTAAAAGAAATTAAAAAAAATGTTTTGTCAACCAATCATAAATTATCACTTATTTTATTTTCTAAATTATAAAGTATCTTGTTCTAACGTACAAATACTTTATTTGGTAAAAATAAATAAACACCGTTAATAGTCAATCTCATATTTTATTTTCTTTTAACTAAAAAAAATTATATTAATTATAGAATAAAATAAGTTATAACTTAGAAAATAATTTAATAATGATATTACGAGTAAATTATGAATTTGACCCATGTGTTATATGTTTTTTGGGGGTTTGGTCCAAGGAAAAAATGATCATGTTAATAAGACCAACATGGTGAGTAGTTAGATTTAACAACCCATGGACCAAAGGGAAAGAGAAATTTGTAATTAACTCTACAATTTAGCAAGATTTAATATAAAAACTTTTATGTCTGAATAAATTAATATGAAAAGATTACCTCTTCAAGAGCATTCATGAGACGCCTACACATTCCCTGACGCCGATATTTGCTGCATGTTGCAATTAAAGGCATCTCCGCAACATTTACCCATGAATCATGAACACAAATTTCAAACAAATGGTTAAAAAGGTCAAAGGGAAAAATGGTCATTTACTATTCAATGCTAGAAAATATCACCAATTTGTATACCTTAATGATGCTACACAAAGTATTACGTCATTTTTCTCCAAGATCACTGTATAGAACCCCTCATAGTTTAGACGTGCAAATTCTGATCTGAAAATAAAATCAAACGAAATAATTATCTCCAAAAGGTTGTGTTAATTAGTGAAAAAAATTCATGAAATGGAAATAGTGTTCACCCCCAATTGTATAAAACATGTGGGATCATATCAATGCCTGTTCTTGGATCCACCATGAGAAGAAAACACTTCTCGATAATTGTAAGTGCAACTGCCAGTTTCAACTTGCATTAAGCTTTCAAAGCAACCAATCCGTAATGAATCTTTTGGTCGCCATGTATGCATTTCAGAAGGGTCCACGAGAAACCATCGGAAATGGAATTCATATTTCCAATACGGGAATGAAGCCCGAAATAAACCTATAACAGATCAACATCAAAATTTATTAATAATGTCAAATAAATTCACAGATTCCAATTCCAATTCGATTTCAATTCTTACCTCCTTGCAGCTTTCCCCACAGAACCACGTCAAGTCTCTTTCTATTCCGGTTTCTCCATGACATTCCTCATGGTCTGTAAATAAAATGTTGATGTTTTTAACCAATTTGTTTTAATTTTAGATATTGACAAGAAAGAATAAATGATTTTAAATTAAAATTTACATTTATGTTCGCATTGCAAACATTTCAGGCCATCCAAACTTGAAGGCTCGTTATCATTGACCACATTCCCACAAATCCAACAAGAGCACTTTGAACAATACCAATTGCCTTCAGGTAGCTCCTGGAAAAAACAAGACACATAAAATGGGTGCAAATGCGAGCCAAATTGGCTTCGGGCTACTGAACTTGTGTGCGAGCGCGCGTCCTGCGGGCACGAATGCACCACCGGTCGACCAGAAAAGTCCAAGGACCTTTTTTGCATTTTCTTATTTAATTGTGACAGTTACGATTTCGTTTTAATTGCATCGGTTACATTGGGTAGTATATATACAATGCATATGCGGCTGATTCTAACGAAATCACTATCTTCATCTCTTATGCTTCTGCTTCATCTTTTCTGTGTTGCTGCAGTCAAGGTATAATCTGGGCCAAGTGAGGATTCGAGCAATCTAGAAGAATTGTTTTCTACTGTTGTATCCTGCGAAACAAACACTCATATAGGGCGAATTTGTTTTAAGGAAACTGTGTTAAACACAGGCCTCAGTCAAGAATTTTATGTTTTTGTTCTTTCGTACAATTTTGGGTTATATTTTCCTAACAATAAGCATGTTAGATGAAAAGTTGAGGGGCAATTATCACAGCAAATCAACTCGCCACCATCACCACACAGCCCACAACTGTCATCATTTTCATCGATTTCCTCCACCTCAACAGTCCGCGTGGCACCTCTCCTAACCTTATACTCAGCTGACCAACCTTCCCGCTGGCACAAAGTGAACGACTTCCCAGACTCCATAAAAAGATTCAAACACGGGCTTTTTAAATTGAAGCTTTCTTCAAAGAGTCAGTAATCTGCAATTTCTTTACTCAATGAATTATATCCATAACATGTTAAGGAACTTCACTAATGCACAACTAGGATGAGTTTGTTACACCTGGACTGATTAAAACAAATTGGAGAGAGAGAGAGAGAGAGAGCTCACCAATTATGAACAGATGGAGATAGATATACTTAAAATGCACTCCTAATTCATGTAAGCATTTCATCGAACAGCTGTTGTGCACATTCTATTGAACGGGGGAGAAGATGAATTGTGTCCCTAGATGTTGATCATAAGAACATACATTCAACTATTCATGTAACCTTCTTTCAAAATCTCATCCAATCGATGAAATCACAAGGGGAAAACGATTGAGATAGAGAGAAAGAGATATCGGATGTGGGGAAGGAGGTGGCGGCGCCAATCGGTGGAAGGGGGCGTGGGGACAAACATTGTCGTAAGTAAGAAGTAAGGCTTTCGCCAGGACGACGATTTTTGATGAATTCTTCTCGGACTTTGTTGATAACGTGATGACTTGGGTATAGACAATGTTGGTCGGCGAACATCCTTGAAAATCTCGGCAGACACAAAAACCCTAGGTAGTAAAAATTGGATTTGGCGATGATGAATTGGAGATTGGGGAAGGTTTAGGGCTTGTAGATGGTGGATGAGAACAATGGTGAAACGATGGGAGAGATTGGTTTGCATCCGTTTATACGTGAAAAATGGTCTTCGTTTGAGCGTGTCTTGTATTGCCACTCGTTTATACGTGAGCATATTGTTTCGTCACAGTCATCCCACATGACGTTTAGGTGGGTTTGAATAAAGAAGAGCACTCAGTGACCACTATTTTTTGTCACTAAGCCTCTAATCAAGTGACCATTTTTTTGTCATTAGGCCTTCAATGCAGTGATCATTATTTTTGGTCACTAAACTAATTATGATATTAAAATATGTTCTTTTTTCTATGGTTAGTGACCGGAAAGTGACGATCATCAAACAATCAGTCACTAAACTTGTAGCATTACCACAATTCAGTGACGACTTAATAAATGGTCACTAAATGATGATATTAGTTACCGGATTTTAGGTGGTCACTAATAATTGGTCATTAAAAAGGAATTTTCTTGTAGTGAAACCAAGTTTTATTTATATATAAGTTACATAAACATTCTCCAAAGCTTGTCGGCTTTTGGTAGGAGATATGTTTTTTGTTAGAAATATCCAACAAATGAAATTACCACTAAATTAGCTTCTTTTCATTTAATCCAAAGAAGATGACATTTTCTTATAATTAAAGATATTGGAAATAGTCAAAGACTCAAAGTAGATGTTTTTAACATGGTGGGTAGCAAGCCTAGTACCACCCATTATTAAGAAAAGTCCAAATATAGTTCCTATTTAAATTGTCATGTCTAATTAAACAAAAATTATTCACGACTATTATGAATATTGCAAGTACTGTTTAACCTAACAATGCAAACCATTTTTTGATAAACTAAATTACTAAAGAATAAAAAAACATCATTTTATTAAAAAAACAAACCTATAAAATATAAAATATATCAGTTTATTCTTAAACAAATTACAAACTTGGTCACTGCTTTTAGCTAGTTTAAGGTTTATGTCCAAAAATGAATAGTTCTACAAATTCTGTCATTTGTCATTATTTTTTAACATTTTGAGTTAATCAGTCAGTAAAGTCACAATTCACATATTTATTAAAAATAACAACTTTACCATTGTATTCCTCATCTCGATCACTTACTATTCAATAAGCCTCAAAACCAAATCAAACCCCCAAAAAATAATATTAAGAATACATAACAAATGAAAAACAGAAATTACATACCAAAAGTCACGACGTGACTCAGGATGTGTCACGACGTGACAGTGACCAGAATCACAATTGTTCTGTCCTTGCATCCTCACGACGTGACCAAGGAATGGTCACGATGTAACTTTGACGTTGGTTTTGACTGTTAACCTTGTGGATTTTGACCGTTGACTTTTTAACCGGTTTGACTTTTGATTAAACTTGGGTAGAATTGAGTATTTGACTTAGGACTAGTCTCAGTTTGGCTTTAGGTAGGTTGGATTGGCTTTTCTGTTGCTGGGGTAGCTGTTGAGCTTCTGTTGAGTAGCTCAGGTGAGTCCTAACACTATACTTGCATGTGTGGTAGTATGTACATGTTGACTAGTTGGGTCTTATCTTTTGATTACTGTGATATGTGAACTGATTTGCTGATAACTCTTGAATTGTTGAAAGTCCATGGGAGTACTAATGTAAACCAGGTGGTATGTTGTTAATCTACAGGGCGTGCTGTTAGCCCACTGGGACAACTGATAGTCCCCAGGGTTGCTGATAACCCATAGCTTATTCTTAAGTTATTTTGTATTAGATATTTTGGGGAACTCACTAAGCTTTGTGCCTACATTTGTGGATTAAATATTTTGTAGGTACTTATCAGATTGCGAAGGAGTGACTGTACACACACATCAAATGCTTTATGATTCGAGATTTCGCGCTGCCTTCATTATAACTTTGATTTCTGAATAATGGTTAATGAACAAATGATTTATCATGAATGTAACTTTATTAAAAATGGATGTTATATTATGTTAAAAATGAAAAAAGTAGCTTGGGTTTTTAGGACGTTTCATATACGTGCTTTGTATTTGTTGTTGTTTTTTTACTTAAAGATGCATTACAATTTTTTTCTTATTTTTATAAATTTTAAAAGCAAAAAATATATAAAAATTGATTTTACAAAATCTGGTTCCTAACCAATCACTTCTTATATTTTGGCGTTGAATCAAAATTGGCCCTAAACTGACCTCCGTTGAATCCAATCTGATACTTAGAGAAAAGGTCCAATGTATGCTACTTTGTCTATGAAAAAAAAAGTCAAAACTAGGTCAAGTGATTCTAAGGTGGTGTTTGTTTTTGTCTGTAGATCTTTTTGGCTTCTTTTGTCACTGCTGCATAGACCATACACACACATTAGTCTTTTTATATTGTTTGTTTTTTTAGAAGACTGCAGACCAAAAAAGATTTGGGCGTCCTCTTCTTCGCACAGATATGGACTAGAGTCTTCTAACCTCTTTAGGCATCTTCTAGCTTAAACAAACACCCTTCTCAATTCATAATTACATTTGCATTTAGTTACATTATATTGTGCACCTAAAATCAATCACTCGTTGTAAAATATCAACAACGCTTAAAATGATTATCTTTTTTTCGAATGTCTCTTTCTTTTGTAATATTTCCTCATTTTAACTATAACGAAATAAAATAAAA